CAACTGCCCGCAAACGGGAAAAATCGCGATTAATTTCTAAGACGTAGAAAAACTTGCAATACATCAAAAGTTGAAACAAATAACAAGTTCAATGATCAGTTTTTTCGTAAAACCTTCTTATGAACCAGTACGGCTTCATCTTTGTGTACTGCTGATAGTCTCTACATTCTTGCAAAACCTGGTCTAAATAGGGCTTGAGGTACCAAGTTTCCTAAACAGAAGCATTTAAGAAAAGTAATTAGAAAAATCATTACAGCCAATGCTCATACACCGCAATAATAAAACAAAAAGAACACATATTAACTTCAGAGATCAAGAGTGAACACGACGACATTAGATCATAGCACTACGCTACAAGCAGTACGGCAATATATAATGGTTATATGTAGTGTAACGCTGATAATAATCCTTTTATTTTACTGTGTACATCTTGCGCTGATTTTCAGTCAGTTATCAAGGAAGTCAACCCTAGCTGGTGCTTTAGGCGGTAGCATCAGACAGCATAGTCGTATAATTGCATGTTCTGCAATGACCACACCAGAACATCGTTTTCCTTATAAATTGCAGGCATTATATTTGCTACCCATTCCTTAGATAGTCGCACCTTAACATAATGGAGTGAATTCCTTGCACAAGGGAAGCAGTAGTAAATACAAACTTTGACATCGCACGTCGGTTTTTAACTCGGATTCTTTAAAATGCAAAGCAAACTACATAGTATCCCAATGAGCCACTGCCTCCCCATAATGTAAGCATTAAAACAGCTCCATAGACGTTTCGAGAACAAATCCTTCGAATTGCCGCCGCAGCGGCAGCTGAACTTCACGATTACAGTCCTGCTAAAAACTGATTAGAAATGGTATGAAAAACAGTAAGAAAGTCCCAATTCTGCCACACAATGGGCATTCCTTGTTACCGATACCTTGATTTATTGACTGCATAAGGGCATTTGGCATAGAGGAATGGGTAATCTGAAGTAACCAACATTTACTCATCAGTCAAAGAAATGCCAGTGGAAATAGAACTCACACATAATATGAGCACAGTTTCTCAGCTCAGAAAAGATTAAATAGCCCAAAGAAATCAGTCGGCCTCAGTAATGAGTAAAACAAACGACAAAAGATCGTACGACAAACTCCGCGATGGATTACGGCAAATGAAGTCCGTTAAAGCCAGTTTCCAATTGGTCAGCCATAGGAGCACAACTAAGCGGGCTAACATCCGCAGAAATACTAAAGATATGAACTGAATAAATACGAAGCAGACTCAACATACTAGAAACGAATTTTTTAAAGAGGTCCCCATCTGCTGATTCATAACACAGACTTCCAAAAATTGAAGATATTAAATAGCCATCAATTTAGTTTCTCAAAATATGCAAAAAATGAAATAGTTAATCGACCAAGAAGAATGCTCACTTAATGAAAAAAACGCACTACTTTAGAGATAAAACGTGACGTAACCAGATACTGACTGCGAGAAAATCATATATGAGCCACATCAGGATTTGAAAAATTACCACTTGCCAAAATTGCCACTGAAATATCAATTGTTAACTCCGCCATTGCCACTCACAAGCCCGATTCAGAAAGGAGGAGGGTTGGAGATCGTAGCAGTTTCCGTAAAAGTTCGCCACTGGCCACTCATGGTATTGACGTAACCGAAAACTATAACGGCTCAGTCATCATCCGCGTTACCAACGGCCGTGCAGGCTGTTCGGGGACTGAGACAGACTGTGAAAGGACGGTGATCAGAACCTGCTTATTGCCCTCTGCCAGCCGGGGGCGTGGCAGCACACCGACGACTGACGAAGACCGATGCAACGACGAGGAAGATACCAGTCAGCAACGGAGTCGCTACCCGTTCCGAACGGAGCAAGCAGACAGCGCAATGCCATTATAGCACGTCAGAAAATGCTCACTGAGTGGGAGCTTAAAGTCGGAAACTGGAACATATCCTCACTCACAGGAAAAGAACAAGAATTAGTTTATGAGGCCATAAAGTACCAACTCGACAACAAAACGCCCAGCCTCTGGACTTCTGAGCCTCAATGAATGGAAGCTGTTCTACTCAGGCGTCGATATGACGACTCGCGCTCAGGCCGCTGTTGGTGTTCTGGTAGAACCAAACCTCGCATATAGAATCACTGATTGGA